GGTGGTTGTGCTTATGCGGTACGCATGAGGGTTGAAGCCTAAAATACTGTGCACCGAGGAGCGCACTGAGTTCACTACTGTACGACGGGAGATCAGCCAATAGGGAAATGTAATCCAACACCTCCCCCCCCCCACACACACCGACTGTAAGTACGACACAGAGCAAAGCGTGAATATGACTATCATTCAAATATGCTCTGCAGATAGCTTTCAAAGCACACCAGCACGTCTGAGAAACACACATTTGCAGCGGGACCACAGAGAATACGAGTTGCATGCATGACTCGTGCCCTCAAAATGCTCGCGGGAAATTAGTGGGTCCTTAAATACTGCGATTCACCAACTAACCCGGCTTCAATCGATGCATGGCCTGGCACATAATTTGATCTGAAATCATGGCGGAATCGCGAATAGATAGATGTTCTTTCCTCTCGCTTTCATCGATGGCCTCAATTCGAGTATGCTGGTATATTATGCGGTAAGCATTGGCTTCTTTCGGGACTGTTACGCGTTGCTTTTGAAGGTGTACAATGTTATCGTTCTGCTCATTCTGGAAGGCCGAATTTTCTCATGAATACCATTCGCCTTTCGGCGAAGTGATCTTAAGAAAACTAATACTCCGAAATTCAGTTGATTTTCTCCAGGAACTATCAAGCTTTATTCGATTCTCTAGGTCAAAGTGACAGTAGTCTAGGAAAGCGAAAGGGATGAAGCAAAGTACTCATTAGAGACTACGCGATGATGCATGAAAACTGCACTGAAAGCAGAATTCTTGCTCATGCTTGTGACTCTAATGGTGATAGTCGCAGCACTGGAATTCCGGCTTGGAGTAAATGACGCGGCCGTGCTTGTCCCTGTAAACCTTGTCCTCACATGCGATAACCTTGCAGAACGGACTGAGGTATCGGCAATCCTTCTGCGCCCAACGCTTTTCGGTGCACTTGCATGGGCATTTCGGCTTCGGGGTAGGCGTAGGCGTAGGCGTGGGTGTGACAGTGGGCTTGTGATCACAGCACCACAAGCCTTTCTTGACGCCGTAACGAGTTTTCTTGACGCATTTATCCACCTTGCAATGCTTGTAGATGCGCTTCTTGCATTCATGACGAGCGACGCCAGTCTGGCGATGGAAGTAACACTTGCAGGGGCATTTCGGATAGTACGCCTTATCCGCTACCTCGGACAAGTCAGACTGCTCCACATTGACATCTTCTTGGACTTGAGCGAAGGTTACGACAGCCAGAAGGCCGAAGAGGACAAGAATTGAGAAAAGCTTCATTTCTCTTTGGAGGTACGCTTTCTGATGAATAATGGTACTCTGGATGGTGGTGCTGATGGTCAGGTGGAAGTGTGAGAATAGGTTAAGTGTCTGGTTCTCGAAATCCTTTTATAGCCAGTCAGAAAGGTATGCGATCGAACCTGCAGACCAGATTGAAGCGTTTCTGTGCGATACTACAGCACTGGGAACGCCCGCGCAATCAAATCATCATAAGGGTGAAGAAGCATAGCGATATTGAGTGCCATCAATACATCTCCAAAACTGTGCAACCAGCCGGCCCGCAGAATAGATGTGCGATAGAATCATTATGCAGGGAATTGTTCTATGCGGACACCTAAGAGTTCATGCCTGATCCTACAAGGACGACAATATCTTTATCTCGTTCGCAGGATGCAATTATTGAGCATGGGTGTGTCTAGGTCTCAAGTTGCGCCTGCCATTAGCTCTTACTGGGTATGTCTCCATGTTAATATAGGGCTTCATCTAGACTGTTCGACGAAAATATAGTATGCTCGCGTTTAAATCAATGACATTAATGGTTCTCTGTCTCACGGAGCATCACTATCTTTCCATGGTTCGCAAGTGTAATATGGTACAGTCTGAAACCTTGCCGAATAATAGGCTGGGTAACGCCTCTCCCGATAAGCCAATTGCAGTTGGTATTCGTTTCTTCACACAGTAATATCATAACTACCCACAGTATTGTGCACTAGTTTTGAGGAGCGATCAACACAAACAGATGTTCTGGCAGATACATTTCCCGATCTTTTCGCCCTTTCGCACTGCGGTAGGTTGTGTGATAGCCAGAGTTGTGATGATATGATGCTTTTCTCTGTACTAACTTATTAAAGATCGTGGTATTTCATATTGGTATGATAAGCATTGTCATCTGAGATGCAGCATATGAGTATGGAGGCCGTGCACCAATGATTGTTCTGCAACTTTGGGCATTGCATCCAAGCACGGAGGCTTGATAGAGTAGTCATTGTTCATCGCCAAGAGCTGGTGCGCCTGTCCAGCAAGGAACATAATGTGTCGCATTTGTTCGTTGGTGAACTACGACAGAGCTCTGCTCACATATTCTTCAAGTGGAAATGGCTTGACATTTCGATGCTGCCTAAATTGCAATGTTGCGAATGGACGAAAATGCGTCTGTAGGTTAAAGACCATATTTTCTCGCCTGTTAGTGATGTCGACTTTGCTTCCCCGTGAGCGTCAAAAGTGAAAGAAGGTTTTCGCACTGTAAGCGTTCCAGTACTGCGCTGCAAACGGCGGAGCCACGCCGATGATTCATAAATACTTAGATCTGTTGGGCAAGTCCTAGCAACACTATTTACTATAGAAACTTGGATCTCTCGCTACGCTAGCTATTTCAGACAATCTGAAGCAATCTAAGTGAGTTCAACACGCATTTTCTAATATTATTGGTACCCTTAAATGGTCTTGATATTTGAATTGAATGTTGAGGATAAATATATACAGTGCCTCCTACGATATAGTGCTATAGCGTGACATACCTCTAGCTATGGCACTATTGGGGGGATGGCACTATATAAAGGAGGCTCAAATACATATATTTGGGGACAAAGCACACTGCAAACACAAACACAACAAAGCCTGTATAACACAACTAAATAACTTCATCCTTTGAGTACTGAACCATGCCGGATGATACACGTGTGAGCTTATGATAACCTGTGCCAGAGGGTGAGTTATAGCACTATATAGAGGGAAGCACTACTACAGTAGGCACTATTGAGCGACCCCCCCCTGTATTTGAAATTGCTACTCCTCATCCGCACACAGGAAACTTTTTTAGTGACCTAATGCTCACTATTCTGGAGCACAACCCTACAGCTTTCTTCTCTTCTTTTTTAGTTCGTCTGCCGCAGACTCTCTGTCATTGTGAGGATAGAAGATAAACTTATGATCGAAGCATAACGTTTATTACATTCAATATTAATTGTGTATCTCTCTGTAGAGTCAAAAATGGGCATGACGAAGATATAGAAAGAGAACGATACAGAAAAATCACCATCACAAAGCAGCTCACCGTTCTAGGACACTGGTTATAGCCTCCTTCTCTAGATCAGCACAATAGCATATGAGGTATTTCACATCTTAATGCGGAATAATATGAATATCTAGGGCAGACGTCGGTTCAATCACTTCTCACCCGGAAAGTGTCACATATGTCAAAGTCAATGAGGCTCTCGCATAGCAGTGGAAACCCCAAGCGATACTCAAGCAACGACAATCAAGAGCTGCAATGCACTCTTATTTTTGAGATTTTGTGCGTCAGGATGAGAGATGGGATACTGTACACTGTAACGCGAATGATTACAAGGCGATTACATGTGCATATTTGGGTTTCACCACAAGGCGTCAATCCATCCGTTTAACCATGACAATGCCACCCCTCTCTCCAACTCTCCTGCTCATCCTTTGACCATAGCCTATTGCGGACGGCAAGTGGAAGCCATTCCTGAACATGTGTACTCGGTCATTTATTTTGCTACGTGACGCATGCAGTTTTGTACTCTACTTACAGGCTATGGTGAGTTCTTTCTTGGGGTTGGAACAAAAGGAAATTGTCTCAATTGTTAAAATAACTTTCTCACGTTTTTGCAAGAACTTCTCCTCGAGCCCGTCACGATGTGTTCACAGATCGGACATGCGGTTACAGGCTGTAACCGCATGTCCGATCTGTGAGTCACAGCTTATGAATCTGAAGCCTTGTCAGCCATCACTCGAAGATTTTCAGTGCTAAAAAAGTTTGCGTAACACCAATGCCAGCGCTTTATTAAGGTTGTTTCAAACGACTTTGCGCTGTCTTCTTCCTGGTTCAACTCATCTTGTGCCATACTACCTGAATTTAGATGCAGATATTACAATGCCTACCAAACGAGTTTGTTCTCGGGGCCCTATTTCTGGCGAAGAAAATCAATTTATGATGACAGGGCCGATGATACTGTGAGTGGGGTTCGAATAAAACGTGTTCATGTCCCATGATATGAAATCCTTACGAACAACTCATACTTGCATTGGAACAACTTTACATATCTCCATGGCTAACAATATTGCCACATGGTTTAGCACACACCGTACTTCACATAGATGACGGTCCGAAAGTGCAAAATGGACATATTCAACTCACTACTAGCACTGCCTCATCCGATCACTTGCAGTTTTTTCATCTTCAGAGTGTCAAAAAATTGCTTTTCTCTATTGCACGGAATTTGCGACAAAACCAGCAATCTTTGTCTCGTGCAAAAATTGTTTTCTAGAGAGAAAACCAGCAACACTTTGATTATCAACATCCTTGCATGAAGGGCAAAATATGACCCATGTGAGATCTCAGTTTCAGAAACCCGCCAAACAAGTAAGGAAAACAGCCACGCTCCTTCCCCGTAGCTGCTGTTCTGTGCAGGATACTATCACGTCCCATGTCTTTAATATTTGTAAGAACGATTTAGTTTGAGATGCTTCTGCACTCATGAACGGTACCCCCCTGACCCCCCGAGATGCAACATACCAAAAAAAAAAAATGTTGTGCGATGAACAAGTCTATAGCTTCTGATCCGGCGTCTGTTCTAAGAAGTAGAATTCTTGGAAATCAGATGAGAAGATCGACAGACAGACAAGAAGTAACAGGCAACCTCTCCATAAAACACAGGAGCACAAACCCAGGACGAAGAAAGAGTCATACGTCGGCTCCGACCTGAGGTTGTGTTGAGACTGTTTACGGTCCAGAGATGGGAGGGAGAAATAAGAATAAATTCAGTATCTTTTTCGGTGCACCACTTTTCCTATCATTTCCTATCAGAACTTGTGACTAGACGACAAGCGATTTGCCTCATATTAGGTCAGGCATGGCCTCATAAAGGCTTCTTCTCAGGCATTCTTAAAATGACCAGATAAGACGTGCAGATCTCACCAAACTTCATCCTTTCGCAAAGCACAAGTCAACCGCGGCGGCGAGAGTATCTTTTCCTTGTTGAGCAAGCGTAAGTCGAGGAAAATTAAGTTGAAAAGTAGCCTCATATGAGGTCACTTGTCGTCTAGACACTCGTCGCTTCTTTATTTTGGAGCTGACGCGCCGCATATACGGAGCAGCAGTAACTCGCGAGGACTGGAGAGAAAGTCGATTGTGGCAAGATATACGTGTTCTCTGTCTTTAAAAGATACTGTCTTGCCTGAACCCCGTCACTACCACAGACGGAAAGTAGACTGCCACAACAGTGCGCGATACGCTACTGAACATTCAAGATTGCAGAGACGGCTTGGTTCAGAGTTTTCTACGTTGAGTAAGTGAAGCCATGAGCGAAATGAATGTTAGTCAGTGCAGCTTGGTACTATGACTCGAAGTGAAAACGCACTACAGTATTAAGTACCGTTGGTACTGTACCAAGGGTACAGCACGAACTGAGAGGAGGTGCGGCTATATAGCTATATACCTCAAGACCATTTTCTGATCAATTCAGTAAAGTGGTGTATAAGGTGCGTATTAAAACCTCATCTGCATACCGTACAATTCTGAAATCTCAAGCTTCCGTACACGTATGAAATTAAGCAGTACCTCATTCATTTGGTCTGGAGAGGTCCGAGACGAGGAATCTTCATATGCGGATCAACGAGGGTACGAACCTATGAGTAACATATTTAAAGCCTTACAAGCCCTTGAGACGTAAGGCAACGAGGCTGAGAGTTGTGCTTCGTGGCACTCTTTCAGGGGTTTCGAAGCCTGCAGGCTCATGCCAGGAAGTCCCTGTGTTTGTTTTCAAACGTTTAGATTGGTTGTGCTAGTTAAGAAGACAGATCAGGTTAGTAATAATTAGTCCTCGCTCTCGGAGAACTTTCAACAGCTTAACAGATATGTGCAGTACCGTTACTGCATGCGCAGCTTGAATATGCTTGGTGAGAAATATGATTGATTAGTCCCCGCAAGCAAGATATCCTTCAGAAGCGCTTAATACTTCAGTTTTCAGTGTGCTTTCCTGCCTTGCTGGCAAAGCGAGCAGGTCCTACTTGGCCGTGTATGGAGTCCGTTCCACGGATCCATACAAGCCGCAAGGGCATGTCGCAATTCCCGAAAGTAATAATTGCGACCCAATGATCAGGCTCTCATTAGGTCGCGTTTCTGCCGAGCTCTCTATAGTGCCGAACTTTGTGTAGTATAATGTTTGCAAAACGAGATACCAAAAAAAGTAACACCGACTCGGAAAGGGCGCAGCACACTTAGATGATATTAAAACAACAGACGTTAGCATGATTTGAAACGAAACTTGTGATCCTTAGTGGAAAATAATAAGTTGCTACGTTTTACATATCAGATATCTCAAATCTGCAATTTTCGAAACTGCTCTCGAAAGGCAGTAATAGAATACGACAAGTATTCAACGCACAGCCTTCATTCCATTCATGCATAATCTAGAGAAAATGACACTTTCCCTCAAACAGGATCATCTTTCGACCCTGTATGTCCGATTTGCGAGTCAGAGCGCCTTGTCACAAGCGCATGCCCAGCAGTCATGTCTCTAGACTCTATTCTAGCTGAAGGTCTATGGTAAATATTTGGATGCAAGCAGCTATCCTCTTTTTCAGTTTGTCTGTCACGGAGCAGCCTCCACCATAGTATACCAACAATAACTTTCTCTAATCTGCACCCAAAACTGCGCTTTATTGGTATGATGTAAGCGATCTACTCTGTTGGATCCACCCGTTTTGTAGATCCATTAAGCGCCGACCCTCACACAGTGATACGCTCTCACCAGCCTGTGTCCGATTCAGGCGGCAACAATCTGCTTCATTTGCCACGTACTTTCAACTTGTACCACTTTAAGAGTAAGAATTGCTTTCGCTGCATCCTTGATGGCACTACTGTGCAGGGAAATAGGGAAGGAACGTTTATAGATCTGGCAGAAGCCATAATAGACCCTCTTAAAACTAGGAGAAAGGCACCTAAGCTCCTATTCTATACGAAGGGGAGCAAACAAGTGAGCAATGAAAACGGCATGTGCGACATGAAGGCCACCGACATGAAGGCCACCTTTCATAGTATCGATACCCCATTCTCCCAATCGCCACTGGCACCCTAGGACCAATTGCATGCAACACACGCATGTTTTGCTTCTGTCTAATTCTCGTGCTGTATACCGCTCCTCACGCAACTTCGAAATGTGAACGGCGTCTACATCAAGAGAAGAAGAATAGCCGGTTGCGTAGAAATGGAAAGCATATCCAGAGAGTTGCAGGTAGCGATATGATTAACATCAGCCTGAGATGTGAGGAGAGAACCGCTTTATGGAGGGAACTTTTTCCACAAACACATTGGTTCTACAGTGGAGTGTTCCATCCTCATCGGCACGTGTTAAATAGTGTAAGGAGGCGGTTTTATAATTCTACAACAAGGAAAATGTCTTACTCCGTAGTTTTCTCGGAACCTTTTGTTGTCAAATAACCATGCAAAGCTACTGTAGCTACTGTAGCACAACAGTATCGGTCCCCTCGTTCACGAAGTATGGCTGTACTGCTGTAGATTCACACCGCCTACGAGTGGTAGGCACTACTACAACCGCTTAGTCTTGTACACCCGCACAGCTGTAGTGTGTAGATGCATGTAAATTATCAACTCTGCAACGTACAGAAGTCTACTATTTACTCATGGAGCTCATCTCGACGTGGCTTCTGCTTTCCCCCATGAAGCGATTTGTAGAGGGTATATCCTTTTCTGCGATACCCATTGCACGCTAGGCAAAATGATGTGTCAGTGAATTTCGTAATCCTCGTAGTCGGGAGGCGCGACTGCAATGAATTTCTGAACTGCCTCCATGGCCAGCCCGTGCAGTGCACAAACAGTTGGACGGTTTGAAGAAACCATTTTTGCAAACCTGAGACAAATTTTCCCAGCATGTGCTTCAGTTTGAGACCCAAAAGCCGCGAAGGTTTTCCGCAAATGGCAGACTCTGTGGGTGTTTGGAAGCGCATACTACATTTAAGATCAGAAGAAGCGCACGGACTGCGTTTCCCCCATCAAAAGGGCCCTTACTTCTTTGATGAACCAACATAGCAGTTTGTTACCAAGTATCCTACCGTATGTCTTTCAAATACAACGTAATTTCAGGGTGCGCTTCCCAAGCGTGAGCCTGTCGACCCGGTACAACAGCTCAAATATATGTGGTTATTTTCATGGACACGCGGTGCGTCTTCTGGGTATATCGAGTCCACACTTAACAGCTGAGAGAATCAACTACAACGGGGTAATGACTTTTCTGCTTGCATAATGCAGTTGGGTACAATACTGTAAACGTACGGTAGTCACGTATCCACAGATTTTACGAATTCCATTTCTCACGCTAAAGATGACAGTCCAGGCCAAGTGGGCAGCAGCCATCTTACCTTTTGGTTGCTGAACTGGAGCTGTCGCCGCCGTGTCGCCAACGAGAGGGATGGATGGTGTACCCTATTCCAAACAAGAGCATTGCTCAACAAGGACGGCCTGTTGCATTTTGGATGGACGCAACACAGTGCTATCATATTAACAGCGAATCGGAGGCACACAGCGCCCAGTCGGCGCCCAGCCATATCAGTCTCAATCTGTGAACACGTTGCATTCTGCAGCGCGTCAGGAATGCGCGTTTTTCGACACAGGAATTCGGCAAGGCTCCAGCACACGCGAACTCCCAGCAGCCGCGAAACCTTCCATCTGGAACTTGCGGGCTAACGAGTCGAACCCATGGCCTATCGCGCTCGAACCAGCCTGTGCTGCGTCGCATGAACAAGCACCACAGCGAAGCCTCCGTTTGTAGGGAACCATCCTGTGCTTTTCGTCGCGTTGGCGAGAGTACTTCGAACGCTCTGGTGTAGCTTTGCATCCCAAAGCCGCGGAATCAAGTCCAATTTCTGTTCAAGGTGCCAATTGCGCGAAATGGTATATCCACTCTTTGTTTATCCATGCGCCGTCCCCGCCAAGTCATCCTTCTTTGTCCAACAGCCGCTCTCCAGTCGGCGTCCCCGTAAACAGCCAATATCACGCGGACCTCGTCGAGTCGCGGTGCGAAGCGATGCGTCCTCAAGCACCCCAGACGAGCTCCTTATCCGCTCCGCCATGCTTTCTGACCTCACTTCGGTGCGCTCCTTGCTCCAAGAGGGCGCATCCGCCCGCCATGCATCCCTGAAGAATGATTCGCTCATGACCGCCCTAATGTGGGCTGCTTCCGAGGGCAACATCGCCATCACGGAAGCTCTGCTTGAGGCAGGTGCTGACCCTAACGCGAAGAATGCACAGGGTTTGACCCCTCTTCTTTATGCCTTCGAAAATTTGCCCTCAGCAAACCCTCGACCGGCGCCGCCCCCTGGCTTCCCGGGTGAACCTGGAAGGGCAGTGCCGCCACAAATACCGATTGTCAGGCGCTTCACAGGGCATGTAGCTGTCATAGAGATACTCGTAAAAGCTGGTGCAGATTTAACGATCTCTAATGCGTTTGGGGAGACCGTCATTCATCTCGCAGCAAGGAAGGGGCAGGACGAGCTTCTCAACGCCCTTCTGAAGGCTGGTGTAGATGTGAATGCAAAGAGCAGGGGTTATGAAGAGACGGCAATGCACGTTGCGGCAAAAGAGGGGCACTCAGATTTTGTTCGGGCACTTGCGAAGAATGGAGGAAATTTGGATGCCAGAAGTCGTTACGGATGGACCCCGCTTGTCTGGGCTGCCGCCTGCGCGAATATTGCCACTCTTGAGGCACTCCTTGAGCTTGGAGCTGACGCGAGGGTCAAGACAGCCGGGGCGAAGGGGGTTGATCAAACCACACCACTGAAGGAGGGAAGAAAGAGCTCAAAGCCTGAGACGGTGTCCATCTTGTTGGCGCGAGCAGGTGCCACAGAGTGAGGAAACGCATGTCCATGTATTTGGTGTTGAATAACGACTCAATAACGAGTCAGGATGTAATTATTTGATGAGCAGTGGGGTGGTTTATGAGCATGGTCGACACTATTTAAGGGCGCGAAAGACTCAAAGAAGGGAGGAGGGCTAAAATTCATCTACTGACTAGTGGCCATATCGTCCCTAGATGAAAATGAAATATGCGGTATGCAACTTCTACAGCTTCAGATGCTCGCGATCAATACCCGACTTGAGAACACCATCTTTCCCAACGGCAGCCCATGCCATTTTAGTCGTTGTGAAGTCAGCGCTCCACTCTCCGTTGTTGTCCAGCAAAACAATCCCCCCACACCCTCCCGTCCGCTTTTTCATTTTCGCGAGAGCCACCTCAGCAGCCTGACCCGGAGATCTGCTTTCCATGAACAACAAGGCGGTCCTAGCAAGACCGACCTTGAGAATACTCTCCCCATGCCCAGTCGTCGAGCAAGCTCCAACGCCATCTTCACAAAACAGCCCTGCTCCAATAATTGGACTGTCCCCGACCCTTCCTACCCTTTTGTACGTAATTCCACCTGTGCTCGTCGCACACGCTAGCGTGCCGTTTGCATCCCGAACTACAGCCCCGACAGTGTCGTGCCCCGAATTAAACAGATCATTCACTGCTGCAGAGTAGCGCTTGAACCTCTGCCACTCCTCCACCGCGGCTGGGGTCACAAGCTCCTCCACGCTGGCCCCTTCCGCGCCAACTTCCTTTGCGAAGGCATCCGCGCCCTCCCCGACGAGCAAGCAATGCGGGGTGCGTTCCATGACGGCGCGGGCGACCGAGATCGGGTTGCAGGCGTTCGACAGGGCGGCGACGGCTCCAAATCGAATTGTGGCTTCGACGGAATCAGTCATGATGGCAGCGTCCATCTCGACACCACCGGCGGAATTGAGGCATGAGCCGACGCCGGCATCGAAGACGGGGTTGTCCTCCAAGGCGCGGACCGCAGCCTCGACGGCGTCCAGTGCCGATGCGCCCGAGTTGAGCAGGTCGTAGCCTAGGGAGGCGGCGGCTTCCACACCTTCGCGCGAGGCGACGGTTTGAGAAGCGGGGATTGCCCATGCGCCGCCGTGGACGATTATGGATGGGGCGATGGGTGTCTGGGTGGGCATTTTGGGAGTTGTGCGCGATTGTTCATGCTCGTACTGAGTTGAGGTGGGGTTCAGGACGGGGAAGGACAAGTGGTATAGACATGTTTGGATGCAGGAGGAAAGTGACACGGAGGGCCGTTTGGCGGGGAGGTGTGGAGGGGAGTGGTTGAAGGGATGGGTGTGGTGGAGTTTCAGTAGTCGGGTGGAATTTGATCTATCGAGGAGTGTGTCGACAGCTGTTGTTTTCAACATCGGTGGATGTTAGAAGTTTTAGCATGGGTCTCTGGCCAATTGATTTGCAGGATTTTGCAGTTGGGCCTTCTTACAGAGCTTTCCCGAATGGTGATTCGCTCGCAGCTGCCGCTGCTTGCAAACCGTCTGCTCCTCCTTTGCTGCTGCCATTGCTTTCCAAATTGGTCCACCGCCTGATTACCTCAGGTTCGAATTAATTGGCCTTACCCACCCATTTCCTTCGTAATCCTTTACTATGGTATTGGAAACTCCGCGTAGAGTCCTCGCTTCCTATACTCATCACCTTCCCCCTCCCGACTTGAAGTTTTTGCAGAGGAGCCTGCTCTCTCTCTTACTTCGACCCAGTTCCATCGCCTTTCCTTTCTCGTCCTCTTCACGGACATAATTGTATTTGGAAAAGCAATGACTGGTAAAATTCTCAATTCTGCTATCAGAAGAAGAAACCCACACCTGTCCGTGCTGTGTTGCTCGCCTGCCGTCGCTTTGGAAGAGTTTCCATTGACTCGTTTTGCTGTCCAACACTTATCATCCTGATCACGCTTTCATACAGTATCAGTCTCAACTCTCAAACCCCCTTAATGATACATCAAGCTGTCCCTCTTGTGCTTCTGCGCTCTGATTCCTTTCATTCATCAACAAGATCTCGATCGCTCCTGCCTCCCGATTCGTCCTGCGATTCTGTCGCATCCAGTTCCGACCCCTCAAGCTCAAGCAACGACGAAACAGGGCAAAAGACGCCGTTGCGTCAGCTCTACATTTGCTGGGTGGTCATCTTCTTCATGGGTTCTTCTCTGGGCGCCATTTTCATCAATAAGACCTGTCTCACTGGCTATCACTTCCGCTACCCACTCACAATGATGCTTCTGCAAATGGGCTGCGCCATTTCCTGGTTGAGCTCGCTCCACATCGCGGGATACATCCAACTTCCGCATGCTTCCTTCCATGACCTCATCGTCCTGTCAGGGCCCACTGTATTGTTCACGTCTAACATCGTCGTCGGGCTCAGTGCCCTCAGTCTTGTTAACATTCCCATGTTCTCCGCCTTCCGTCGTATCACCTTGTTGTTTGTCATGGTGGCTGAATATATCTATCTCAAGAAAACCCACTCTCTTGGAATAGTCTGTACGGTAATTGTCATGACCATCGGAGCATTTGTGTCCGCAGTCGACGATGTCAGCTTTTCCAGACTTGGATATTGTTTAGTTTTCGCCAACAACGGTCTCACTGCTGCCTATCTAGCTTCTATCAAGAAAGTGATGAAGCTAATGGAGATCAACCCGGTGGGTTTACTTTACTATACAGCCCTTCTTGGCTTTCCGCTCGTCACTACAATGGTCATATGTACGGGTGAACTCGGACGTGTCCTCGTTGCATTTCGAACGCAGCCAGAGTTATTGAGTTGGGGCTTCATGATCAGCTTACTCCTCACTGCCATGGGAGCTTTCGCCGTAAATTTTTCAACATCCCTGTGCACTCATGTGACTTCTCCGCTGACCACATCAGTGGCGGGGCAAGTCAAGAATGTCTTACAGACTGTTCTGGGCTTCTTTTCCTGGGGATTTGTGCCGACTATGACGAATACCGTAGGCTTGTTAATCGCGCTGTGTGCCCAGATGTTTTTTGCCTACCTTAAATACAAGGAGCAGGATATGGATACGTGGAAGCCGGTCCCAATAACCGTACCGGAAGAAAAGCCGGAAGACTTGTCGTGGGCTGTCATGAAGCACCATGACCAAAATGCGGAGACTGTTCTGACGGATAGTGCTGGCAGTGTTTCCCAGGAACAAGAGCAGGGTTTCACGGCAGTTGTTGGCGCAAAAAGCGGCAAGGTTGGCAGTCTTTCGGCAGGGGGGAAGAGTTCAGTATAAACTTAAAAGGCAGGTGTTAATGACGGCGTGATATGTAGATCGGAGTCCACCATGAATGCAACTGTTTGCAGGACAGCTGCAACTCAACGGTCTCTTTTCCGCAAGTGCAGGCAAATAACACAATCGCATGGTGAATAAAAAACACAATTGCGCAGGCGTCGCATTTGCAGTTGGAGAAAACTTGGATATCAATGTTCGCTATTCAAGAATCCAGTTGCAAACCTCTCCAATTAAAGTTAACTTTTATTCAAAGACGCCATGAGGCTAGCCACAGAATGCCAGTCACCTCTTTCCTATTCTACAAAACGTTCATCGCGAGTCTGACTTTGGCGCCCTATTTAAGCACGGGCCATTCTCTTTCATCGTCGCAGTACACATTCGGCGATAGTAGTTGCCTCCCGGAGACGGAGGAAAACAAAGCGGCTTTCCTCTTTGATCGTGTAGACGATCTCTATAGGCGAAGACAGCCCTAACCTCTTACATATCTCACAGAGACTCAGTGTCTCAGTGTAGGTAGGGCGGAACACACAGCGACTACGGAATGCCATGGCAAATGTTGTGATCTCTCGTGAGTACTATACACAGCCCTTGCGATCCAGAAGTTATACAGACCACCAGAGAAGGGAGGCGAAATTCATCTACTGTTGGTGCACAGCAAAAGAATGAGTCAAATCTTCATATACCGGTAGTCTACGCCCCCACTGCTTTTGACGGGTTCCTTATCATCAAAATCAAGCGAAACTTGCACTCCCTTTCCTGCCTCACCCGCTGGCACTTTGCATTTGAAGGATTGCCCATCTGAGGCAACATCGACTTCAGTGACTTCAGTGCACCGCTTACCATCAAAAAGGGCCACAGGATTGGACCCGAAATTTACACCCGTCACCAAAACTTCGTTCCCTCCACCGCGGGGTCCGCGGAACGGCATCACTGCAATCAGAGCGGGAGTATCTCCTCTCTTTTGAATGGGCTGCAGAACCATGATTTCTTCCTTATAAACTCGAGGCATGAGAATCTGGCCCCACGGCGATACAGCGACAGATAGACCTGATTCCTCGATTAGTATATCTGGTCCATCGGCCTTCTCCCCATTACTGTCGAGCTGCACCCGAAATAGTTTCCCCGCAGAGTCATGTGTCGAGTACTTGGAGCAGAGAAGATTTCCTTTGAGTTGGCCGCCGAAGAAATCTGCCGTATACTCTGTAATACCATCCGTGGATGACTCGAAAGTAGCAATCGGAGCTAGGTAAAAGCCATCGGATGGCTCCGAAGGTCCGCGGAACTTGCATTCCTTATTGTCCCGCCTTCCCCTATTTCGGTTCGGGTGTCCAAAATACATGCCCTCCTGGACTTTTCCAAGCCTATCCTCATAAGTCTTTTGTGGCAACGGCTCATGATCAGTGCATGATATAGACATGTTACCAAATATTTCCGACGCACCGTTGTCAGTTGCGTACATGTAGCCATTCGAGTGAAACTCTATACCAAATGAATTCCTCCATCCTGGAGAGAATACTTTGACGTCACCGCCCGTCTGCTGTGCAATGGCTGGGTCAACGGAGTCATACGTGATCTCGCCGTTAAATCCTGCCTTCATGACTGGTGCGATCAGGCTTGCCCCGGACAAGGCCGTCTCAGGGATACCACCCAAGCGGCTGTTCTTGTCGTCGTGACCAGCGTTGGTGTTGCCGCCGACCTGAATATGAAGGTTCCCCTCGTCATCAAAGACTAGTCCGTTGATACCATGGTCATGGTTTGACACCGGCAGTCCAGAAATGACGGGCTTTTCTTCCATGGCGAGACATTCGCCGTTCAAGTCCTTCCTGATCAAGAGAATCTGTCCATTCCTCCAGGCGTCAGGCTCTGTGAGCTTTTTCTTCTCCTTCCAGTCCAAGATTGAGGCAGAAACGTACAACTTAAACTCCGTATCGGCGGGGTTAAACGCAAGACCGAGGATAGCCCTATGACGGCCCAATGACGGCGACAGGCAGAGATCGGATACTTCCATGCGACTGTTTGCTGCAAAAGAATAGACGGCGCTGTTGATAGCTGACGCGTAGAAGCGATGGTCGGGACCGTACTTGATGCCTGTAATAAGTTTGATCTGGAAGGTATTACCATTCTCCGTGGCGCGGCGTACGTCGAACTTGATCGGGGTCTTCCCGTCATTCTTATAGGTGAATGGGATGGCGTTAGATTTGCCAGCCTGGTTCTCGGCTACGACATCCACGATTTCCTCGCCCTCCACCTCCGGTACCTCGACCGTGACCTCTGTCTCATTGGCCGTCACCTCATCGACTTCCAACTTATCTGACCCAAACTGAATCGTGACCTTATTGAACAGGCCAATGCCCGAAATCTTAGCTTTGCCACCCCCATCGGGCGTAGAGTCCCCGGGGTCAAGTCCACGCAGCACTGGCAAGACCTTTGCAATGTTATGCTGAATGGTATCTCCGCCTTTCTTGAGCTGCAACTTGGCTCCCTCTGAATTGACGCGCGAGTAGAGCAGATGGACTGTATGCTCACCCTCGGGAAGATCTATACCTCCCGCGGACGTCTCCAAGTCTTTGCTGTCAGACTGCAGCACAAGCTCGCCATCGATAAGAAGGCGCACAGGGCCGAAATGCTCGACCTCAAACTCCTTCCTCCCACCGCCGGTAACAAGAAAGACGCAGCGGGCCTGAAACTGGACATCCCTCTGCTCTTCCGGAAAGGCAGCGGGGTCGGCAAAGTCGACTTTGGCGGCGACGGCGGCGAAAGTGGGGCGGATGCCCTCGTTTATGTCGTCATCGATGGAAAAGCCGCTCTCCGCGGCGTCGTAATAGTAGCAATACGCGCCGTCTACGACGGGTTTCTTAACAATGACGGTGGCGTAATCGGTGTTGGAGTCGCGAAAGTCGTCCCTGACGGTGAGGCCGACGATGGTAGTGCCGACCCTAAAAATATGGCTCGGTGCGGCGTCCGTGCTGAAGGTCTCGCGGGTGTCATTGAAGAACCAATCATGGTCTGTAATCTTGCCGACGACGACGGGCGGCCCCTCGTCGCGGTAATGCGTGTGGCTGAGGCTGCCGTCGAGGTGGATCTCTGCTTCGCCGTCGCCGTCGTAGTCGACCTCCTCGTAGAGCGTGCCCGGGACGGAGTGGGACAAATGGTCCTCGAGACCCTGGCCGCTCGGCAGCGAGCCATCCGAGCCCTGAGCCGAGCCGGCGCCCGCGTTGGTGGTGCCGCCGATGGGGAAGGTGGACGCGCCCGCGCCGCCGAAGCCGCGCTTGGATGCGGTGAAGTACACGACCAGGGCCGTGACGGCCGCGATCACGATCGTCGCAAAGACGAAGCCGACCCAGCACACCTTTGCCGAGCGCTTCATGGTGTGCGAGCGAGCGTGTGCTGCGGCGGGGGGAGGGGGGGGGGGGGACCCGTGAAATTCCAGCCGTAGCTGCAAATG